TATATGCGTGTGTGTGTTTGTGTGTATATAAAGAGGGCTACTTTTAATATCGCTTATTTTAATATCAAAAATTTAGGTTATCTTTATAGCAGTATTATATTTTCAATTCAAAATTAGTACTGCATTTGTGATAATAATAAAATGTATGTATATAGAGTACTCACTCATTTTCTTTCACTATTATTTCGTGACTTTCTTCATTAATAATAAATGCACTTTGTTCATTCATATTCAAAACACTTTATACAGAAACACCGTGTCGAAGACTGCCGAAAAACGACGTTAGACAATGCACGGCCTTCAAGCCACACCTCCGTGCCCGTCGGAGTATTATTTTTTTTATTTATTTAGGTAATCATACAGCGTTTTTATCGTGTTTACAATACATATTATCATATAGTAAGGCCAATAGAGATAACACAATTTTTTATCAACTAATAATTAAGCGTGCGTGTGTGTTTGAGTAAGTGTGCATGCGTGCATGTGTGTGTGTGCGTGCGTGCGTGTGTGTGTGTGTGTGTGTGTGTGTGTACGTGTGTGTGTGTGTGTGTGTGTGTGTGTGTGTGTGTGTGTGTGTGTGTGTGTGTGTGTGTGTGTGTGTGTGTGTGTGTGTGTGTGTGTGTGTGTGTGTGTGTGTGTGTGTGTGTGTGATTATGCCCTAGTTTTGTTTAGAACATCACGTTTGATGCGACTCTTGGATAGGTTGAAAATATCCATCTTCGTATGAAGCAAAACTATTATGATATTTTGATGAGATAAACTTAATGAACAGTTTTTGAATTGATTCTGTTCGATGCTTATGCTTCGCATACTTTCGAGACCAGATTGTATTAGCGTATTCGAGAACACTCCTTACGTATGCAAAGTATAGAGCTTTAATGCAATTAATACTTCTAAAATCGTTGCAGACGCGCTTTATTAGTCCAATTTGCTTGTAGTCTTTGTCAAAAATACTATATGTATGCTCATTAAACGTTAATTTTGAGTCCAGCCTGATACCAAGATCTCTAACTGATGATACACTCTTTATGGATTTATAGTTAATTGAATACTTGTAATCTATGAGCTGTTTCCTGCGACTGAAGATTATTTTGATACATTTTTCACTATTGATAGTAATTCTATTTTTGCTGTAATAAGTTTCTAGGTTTTTTAAATCGTTTTGAATCAGAACACAGTCATCAATTGTTTTTATTTTTAGATAATTTTTTTGTCATCTGCGAACATTAAATAGTTTGAATGATAGAAGCAGTCACCGATGTCAAATAAATAGGCGTTGTAGAACAAAGGTCCAAGTATTGAGCCTTGTGGGACACCAGATGTTACCTAATAAAATCACTACGAGCACTACCCAGTAACACTGCTTGCCTTCTGTTACTTATGTATGAAGTTACCCATCTGTGCAAATCACCATGAATACCCAAACTGTAAAGTTTACGTAAAAGGATGGCATGATCATCACTGTCAAATGCTTTTTCAATGTCCGTGTATATTACATCGACCTGCTGCCTGTCGTCCATGCTCATATATATGTAATTGGTTAAAATAGCTAAATTTGTTACAGTTGATCTTTTATTTATAAAACCATGTTGTTTAGTTGGTAATGATTTTAAGATTATGGGACTGATGTGTATAAAGATAAGTTTTTCAAAAACCTTTCCAAATGTGTTTAATATGGAGATTGGGCGGTAGTGCTCAATTCTGTTTTTTGGTCCACTCTTATGTATAGGTATTATTAGAGCTTCTTTCCACTTACTAGGAAATGTTCCATAGGTGTTAACAGACATATTAAAGATTATTGAGAGAAGTTTGGCCAAGAATTTTGCACATTTATGTATAAATAGGTGAGGTGTGCCATCGCTACCAGGCCCTGTATTTTTTTTAATTGTATGTAGAATACGAAAAACATTTTTAGTACTAAAGTATATATTATGTAATATATCGTTTGATTCTACGTTTGGAATATGGGAAAAATCGTAAGAAGAAGAAAGTTTTTGAAAAACACTTTCAAAGAATTTATTAAATCCCGCACACACGTTCGTTTCAGTGCAAAAACACCAAAGATTTGCCTTATCTGGCAGAAGTTTGTTACGTTTTTTTTTTCATAGGTATATGTTTCCTGCGGTGTACGTGCGGGGGTATTTGAAGTAAATGCGTAAACAAGTCACGACGCGTCGCTCTCGAGAAAGCGTGTGAAAATGAACCGAAGTTCGGATTCGGTTCAAATCACATTCGGCCCATCTATAATATATATATATATATATATATATATATATATATATATATATATATATATCACAATATTGATTCTACGTCCTTTCATTTCGCATTATTGTAGCGTTCACCACTTGTAAGCAATTTTAATACATAATGACTGCGAATATTGGTCCATTAAACAATTTCAAAGATAGTGTTTAACTCATTTCTTTGAAAATTTTCCATATATCGATATACAAATATTCGTATATTGCCAGACGGAGGGAAACCAATCAGGACTCCCTTCCATATTACAAATTATCGAGAATCCCCGTAATATACATAGTTTTTTATTCATTCTCCTGCTTAAGGTGACACTAGTCGACGTTATTTTCATAGAAATTTCGGAGGGGTTTTACTCCGCTGTTTGACAGTGTACATCAACAGTACATACAAGTGACAGTTACATGATATCGTTTTGCCTCATTATTAATTTTGTCTGTACGGAAACAGAATAGTAAAATAAAAAGTCATTAAAAAGTTACGAGCTATCAAATATTCGTTTTTATTGTCAATTTTAACACAACTTTGGGCGTAAATTTGTAATAAAAGCAGTGTAAAATTTCCAAGACAAAGTTGGTATCGACACAGCTCAATTATCGAAAAAATTCAATAAATTTTATTTGCAATTGATTTATGCAGTGTTTTTTTCATAAAACCCCTTCTTCCAAAGGCCTTTTCGTATTTTTTTACGCGCGCGTGTTTATATGAATTATCGTGCATCTCACTGAATAATGTTTCCCCCGGTGCGGTGCGGGGAGGACGACACTTACACACACATGCATGCGCGGTGACGCGCGCTTATTCTAGTTTTATTCGACTCAGTCAGCTGCGGCCTGTGACGTTCGAATGAATATAGCTATACCTGCGCTCTAAATTACTACGCTACATTGACCCCTGCTTGAACTTTCGATTTCGGTACTACTCTGTTTGGCATAGAAATTGATATTAGGTGCATCAGGGTAAGATCGGACGGTTTTTCTGAAAACTAAAATGGTCTCGGAATATTATTTTCTTTCTCGTCTCTATTTACTCTCTAATAATCCAATAATATCTAATAGTATGCAAATAAGCAAGGCTTTCGTTTTCTATTTGTAATGTTTTCGTAACCACAAGCATTGGAGTTTTATAAATGATCAAAGAAAACCTGACTATTCAAAATATCGAGGGAAAGTTCGGACCTTGATTGGGTAAGACCGGACTACTTCCTAAAACCATCACTATAACAAATAGAGTAAGCTCTATAACAAGAAAACATTCGATCTTATCCAAGTAAAAACATATTGAAGGGTTTTCTAAAAATTCCTTCAAAATTGACTACTAGTAAAGGTTTTAACATGTATATATGTATTTACGTCCGATCTTACCCCGCATAGGCAAATTCAGAGGTTTTATGTTTCTCAAACTTTTACGTGCCAAAATGCTCATTAAATTCATATGGTACCTATTTATTATGTAAGGTATAATTTAACTTGCTGCTCAATTTCTCATTTAGCTAATTCTACTACCAATACTTAACTTCGTACTTATTTGTTATTATATACTTATGAATCAATTATTAATATATTTTTAATATTTAGATGGAAGTCAGTTCTCTGAGATTGAAGATATTAAAAGAATATTTCATAATAATTAAACGACATTTATTAATTTCAAATAGAATAAGCGTTAAAGTAGGTATTGACGTAGCTATCTTCTAAGCACACATAATTAAATATTATCCAAATTATTGATATATGCAGTCTTTTGATACTAGTCATGTTAACAGGTTAAAAAAATTAATAAGTTTCATCTTAATGAAACTTGCAATTTACTAATCTTTAACTATAAAAAAATAATATTAATTTTATTAAATACCTGTTTATGATATGTTTCAGGGTGGCTCACATAATTAAATTTTCATGGTTTGATTAAAATGTGATTCGAGGGTAAAATTGTACCTCCTTTAGGTATTTATTTAAGTTACAGCCTATTTACGCCCCACTGCTGAGCAAAGGCCTCCTCTCATTTCTGAGAGGGATTTTAGTGTAAGGAAATGTTGCGCCTTTAGATATTCATTTACTCGTTAAGAATCGTGAAAATAATCGAAATGGCTGAAATGCCTGCTAAAGTGTAGAAAGTGGTTCCAAAAGTACTTTTTTTATTGAACCAATCATATTTGTAACCAATCAAAACTTTCAGAGCCACATTGATTGTACGATTAAAAACATTGCTGCCATACTCGCGTATTTTTATCAACAGGAACAAATTGAACTGAAATTTGCAAAAAAAATGCTTAAGAAAATTTGAATTTCGTGGGTGACCCTGGAACATTTACAAAAATATAAAAACAATCAAATATACTATGAAAACATACGGAACAAAAACATAGGATCACTTCTTTATATTTGGTATCGGTTATGTAACGTTCGTAAATAAACTTACATTTTTAAACATTTATATTTTTAATAAAGTTATTATAAAATCAATATGTTTCTCTAGAAGTAAATAATTTTTAGCAAAACATATTCATTACATTGCGACAAGGGTTATAATGAACGTGAGTGAAGGCACTAGCAGTAATACACATTCAGAACATATTGAGTTTCAACCTTTCCCAACACAGCTTTATTTTTTTCGGCCACATTCATTATTTTTTTAAGACGCACTGTACCTAGTAAAATATTTTAGAAATAAATCTCGTCACTGTCGTTCATTAGCACATACTCATCGGGGTCTTCATTTATCTGAAGCAGTTCAATTTCTCAAACGATTGAAACTTCAGGTACGCAGTCTTGATCTTTTCGTTTAGGAACAACAAATTTAACATTTCCTTTTCTGCCGATAGTTTTGTAATAATTTATAGTGTATTTTCTTGTAGCCAAATATGCATTTTCAATCACACCAACATAGTATTTCCAAGATTTAGTATAATAACGTGTTAAGACGGTATCTCCAGTTTTGTACTCATTCTTCTTCACTTTTTTATCATTTTCACAAAGCAATTCTCTTACCTTGCTTTCGAAGTCGTCTGTCTGTGATATACCCACCTTATTTTGTCGTTTTTCGGTTTTGTTCTTCATGTCAAATGCTGTTTTGTTTGAAGATTCAAATTTTACACTAATCTGTGGTTTTTTGATTTTGATTAACTCCTTATCATTACTCTTTACTTTCATTGCAGGAGTTCTTAATCTTTTTTACTGGCGTGTTTTCTTTATCTAAAGATTCTCCTTGTAAATCTTTACGCTTTAGGTTCGAACTTAAATCAAACTGTTTATCCACAGGTTCAAGTTTTAAGGTTGCACAAGTTTTTAAACCAATGAAAGGTCGATTTTCAGATTTGAATCGAACTGATGACAGAACAGTGACTTTATTATTATTAAGTTCTGTATATTTTGTCTCGTCACTTAATTTTTTTCTTTTTGTGGATTATCATTCATCTTCAGATCGTTATTTATGCTTCTTTGTGTTCTATCATTTCTCGTTGAATGCTTCTTTTTTTGGCCGTTTTCAGTGTCTGTCAATTCCATTATATCATCAATCTGTAATGCTTTTATTATGTCAATGTCTGATGTCTTTAATAAATCTAGATCAGTGTTTCTTCTCTGGTTTTCATCATCTATGTCCGACCAATCAGACATGACAAATTTAGAATTATCGCTTAATATGCCCTGTAAATCAGAATCACTGTGTGAGCTCATTTCACAGCTTTCAGACGTTGTGCTTAAAGACCTCTGCAAGTTTTTGGCTTGTCTTTTTAAAGGTTTTCTTTTTTGTTTGAGAATACCTTTCTTTAAACAACCTTCAGTCTTAATATTGGTTCGTTGAGTTGGAGAGTTCTCGTTTGGTATAATTTGTTTATTGTAAAGATCTAAGACTTCTGTAGATGTGTTATTTGTTAAACATTTTTTATTTACTCCTTTTTTCATCCCAGATTTTGACTTCGTGTTTTTGCTGTTTTTTTTCTTTTTTTATTCTTTGTAACATTCTTAGGCTTATTATTTTTTACCTTAATCGAACACTTTTCTTTTGATATTCCCGATGGTCCAGGTTTTTGATGATCATCAATGTGTACATTGGAGTTTGATTCTGAATTTTGAATTTGTGGTTCTTTTTCTACTGTGATCTGATGTTTTACGTTTTTTTTTTCAAATATATGTGTGTTATAACTTCCGCTCCTTTTGCTATACGTTTCATTTTGACTCTTGAGTTTTGTGGTTTTTGCGTAACCTTTTTTAAAAGCAGTTCCTCAAAAGAAATACCGTAATTCACCGACTCTGCAAGATTTTTAGCGCTGACGTGAATAATGTCCTGAAGTTTACGATCAATCTTCATTTCTTTGTTTAAGACGTCTATACATGACTGATTCAGCGATTTGAGTTTTGCTAAATTTCTTTGCCCATTTTTATATATCATTTCATTTTACCATTTTTTATAAGCCGCTGGGTCATATTTTTCTTTTGGTATAACATTTGGGTCAAACGGGTAGATACCTCCTTTCATAAAGCCATTTTGAATCACTTTTGGTGTTGTTTGACTCCATGCTTGTGCAAACATTTCAGCAAACTCTTTCTTACGTATTTTAAATCCGACATTTTGACGTTGCCATTCCACAAGTTTTTGTCCCAAATACTTTTAAATGACTTGAAGACCGCTAAGTCTAAAGGTTGTAGCAAGTGAGATGTATGAGCAGGCAGTTTTAAAATGGTTATGTTGTTTTCTGCTGCTAATGCTACGACTCGTTCGTCAACGTGGGTGCTATGACCATCGTAAATTAAGAGCACTGGTCTTTCTTCTCCTAAACTTGGAATTATGACCTTAACCATATAATTATAAAATATTTCGGTCTCCATCCAACCGCGTTTGCTAGAAGCATAAGCAACTTCAAAATCATATTCTTCATTTTGATCTGCCATCCATTAGTCATATATGTAGCTCCCTTTAAATACAATTAAAGGATTCAATTTGATGCTAACCGCGTTGACAGTCGTTAACACGGTAATATTTTCTATTGCAGATCCAGCCGTTGTCCTTGTGCATGGTGCGCCTACCGCGCCAACAACTTTCGTTTTTGTTGGATCTAAACATACAGAGGTCTCGTCTAAATTCCAAATCCTATGCGGGTCGTTTAGGTTCAACTTCTCAAGGGTGCTTTCTAGTAAAGTGAAATACTCGTGTATTACAAAAGGATCTGTCATCCATTTTCGAAGGTACTCTATTGGTTGAGGTTTTTTAATGGATAGCTTGTGCCGCTTTCGGAACGAAAGAAACCAATCGTTCCCTGGTATATCATTTATGAATGGAGTTTTTATTTTTCCATTGTACCTAAACCTGATGCTAGTTTGGTTTCCATATCTAAAGGTATAGCAGGTGATCTTCCTAGGGTACGACTTTTTAAACCTGTTTTACCATTAACTCGATCACTAAGGGTAGATGCTGGAATCTCGTAAAGTTTTGATGCAGCATAGTTAGTTAGTTCTTTTTTTCTTACTTTTTCTACAGCAGTTTCCAAGTCTTTTTGCGAGTACGCAATTGTTCTTTGTGATGTTCGGCTGTAGTTTTTAGGCATGGCGAATCTGTAAAAAACAAAATTTGTGTTGCAAAATATTTTTATTTCGGAAAATTTCGGGAAGACTGGTGGGAAGCAGCATGTGACCGAAAAAAATGGAGGAATTTGGTACCTATTTAAAATTATTTTCATGTATTGTGTTTATATTTTAATTTTAAAATAAATGAGTACTAAATAGAAATCTCTGTGTTTTTAATTTATTGACCGTGTATATGTAACTGATCTCCTTCAAACGGCTTTGAATTTTTGTGTGTGTAATTAAGTTAATTCGAGAATGGTTAAGATTCACAATTGGGCCCGGTAGGTGGCACTGTTGTTGAAATCCAGAAATAACCCATGTGAAACCAAGGCGGATCCCTGGTATTTAAATAACTTTGCAAGCTCTTTTTTTAATGTCGTCACAAACGAGTCACAATTTCGATGTCTTGTCTTTCCCTTACCAGCGTAACTAACTAACTATTAAACAATAAATATTGAATGTTGGTGTTATATTATTACTGTCCTTTTACATCAAAATTTTAGGTCTCCTTTTCGATCATTATCAGCAAAACTGAAAATTTGGTAATAAATAACTACCCATTAGAAAAAAAATATTAACAACAGTTGCTCAAAATAGTCCTATCGAGTAAATAAAAATATAAAAACAATACTCAAAAAAAACTATAAGTGCATATATCGAATTGGAGGGACCTTGTCCAGTAGTGTAAAATATAGATTAATAAAAAAAGTTTGACAAGCACTTTAACGGTATAGACCGATTTTTTTTAGTCCGATCTTTACCTATTGATATTTTAGAGGGGTAAGATCGGATTTCGGCCCGCAAACGTCTTAAGCGTGATTTCAATAATCAAATTAAACCGTCATATAACGCTCATTAATAAACAATTACGCACTAGTAAAAAAATTAAAACTACTTACCAAATTGTCTGTGAAAATTCCTTGGGGTAAGATCGGATCTTCTCAAAAAGCACGTCTAGTCTATAACTTCACTTAGATCATTAAAACACCCGTCCGGCTTGGCGTAGCGCTAGACGCAGACTAATGGGATGGGTACAACAAAATGGCGCGTAACGCTACGTTGTCAACAGTTAAAAATATTGCCAAATGCAGGGGTAATATAATTCCTACGATCTTAGCCCTTGTACGATCTTACCCTGATGCACCTTTATTGAAAGAGATGATGCGTTTTGGACGGCAGACAAAATTTTTAAATTAGATAGCTTTTATTAGAAATGTGTTTTGCCGGAGCTGATAGATCCCCGTTACCCTCGCAAACTACAATTTAGAGATCGAATGTAAATCAAATTGATATAAGCACAGACAAAAATAGCGGAATATAAATAAAATTTTGAAAAAAAAAACGATCTCAAAATTTTATTAATGTTCCGCTAATTTTATCTGTAAGTACTTACCTAGTCATGTATTCGATTATAATTATATTCTCAGACGTGCAGGTTTCCTCAATATGTTTTCCTTCACCGCCGAGCACGTGGTAAATCAGCACAATTGCAATTAACAATTTCATTGATGCCGGCGGGGATCGAACTCGGGTCTGCATGTCTGAGAAATTAAAAAATATATATTTCGAAGACATGTGAAGTTTGTCAACACGCATTGAGGCAGCGTGGCGGACATTTCCTTGCCTTAAAACCCTCTCAGAAATTAGAGGAGGCCTGTGCCCAGCAGTGGGACGTATATAGGCTGTAACTTTACTTTTTTTTACTTTTATAAATATATTATTTTACCGACGAAAATTTTAAGAAAAAATAAAAAATAAGCAACCGACCACCTCCTAGGTCCCTAGGTGACTTGCGAGATGTCAGTGTAACAAAACAAAACGGCCCAAAAAAACAGACTTTCCAACTGATAGCTAAATCAGCACGCAACAATTTCATTGGTGCCAGTGGGGATCGAACCCGGGTTGCTCCCGTACTGTGATACTTATAACGAGCGCTAACCATGTGAGCAACCACGGCTCTCAACGACATCGTTCCGTTCGTGTACAGCGCTGAAGATAGCAGAGTAAAAAATTAGAGATTGTGGTGTTTGAAATTTGTCATCTATGAGAGTGAATTTTATCTGTGTACTCTGTAACAAATAACTATATAGAAAAAAAATGTGAAAATGACATTTCGCCATTTTTGTTTGTGTACTGGTTAGGAACTCGATCAAAAATTTGATAATTTCTCCGTTTTTATACGTTATTTCTAATGTTATTTTACATCAAATTAATTGTGAAGATATTTTATTTTGGAAATATGTATCATTACGACGATTCAAAAACGTTTACATATAATAATTTACCTCGAAATTCACTATACGCGATTATCGTTTATTGATTATATGTTGTTTAAAAAGTATTCTTATCAGTTTTTTGTGTTAAATGGATGCTAAATATAAAAGAATGCTTCAGTATTGATAGCAATTTATTAACGAAATATCTGTTGAGATGTGTCTAGAAATTATTAATACTTATTTTTATTTATTTATTAAAAGGGTAAGTAAATATACATAAACTAAAGTATTTCAAATAAAAATAAGTATACATTTATCTATATTGAGTACTAGTTGTTCCCCGCAATCTCGCCCGCGTGGAATATGGATTTCATGGGTTTTAATTTTTTTGCGCGGAATCCTAATTCTTTTTCTAAAACAAAATTAGTTCAAGTTATTCCTTATATCATCAGCTATCTCGCCAGTGAAAGTCCCGTCAAAATAGATCCAGCTGTTTCGGAGATTAGCTGGAACAAACAGACAGACAGACAGACCGACAGACAGATAAAAATTTTAAAAATTGTGTTTCTGTTACTACTACTTTCATATGCATTTAATAAAAAGCTGTTGTTTTAACATTACAAACAGACACTTCAATTTTATTTATTTGTAGATATAGATATAAGATATTATTCATATTGGTGTCATTTTAAAGGGAATATCATGTACTATTATAATAATAAAATAATTGTCTCCAGTAAATATTATACTTTTCTTGTAAAACACGAAATAAAAAAATAAATACGATTTATTTTTATATCCCCTTAGGCTTTATTTTCATCCTTTATTTTTTATTTGAGCAATTTTCTTTTAACAAAATTAAATTCTGAATTCGTTGAGCCTTTTGAGAATATTTTTATTTGATTGTTAGGTAGGTACCTATATTCGTTTTTCAGTAGTAATCGTTTTTGTTGCGACAGTCTCGCGCGGTCGTAAAAAAAGTTACTGCGCGGACAGGTGGGACGAGAATCACTTGCGCGGCGTTGATGGTTCGGTGGATAGGTACCTACCTACTGTTATTACCTAAATACCCATAACCTACTATACAACAAAATTTGACAAACTGTCGCTGCGTCGCGGACACTAAAATGTAAACTGCCTACCTACCTGCCTAAGTACGTCGGTACTAAGGAAACAGTCTTGACGGGTCACTTGTCTTGATAAAAACATATGTTTACATCTAGTGATATTGTGTGTATATAAAAAAAGTAAGAAGACATGATATTTAGCTCAGAGATAGGTTATACCTAGTCTGGAATAACACATTTGATACCGTTTATTCAGGTATTTCGTTCCTGTGGGATAATTTTCGAGTTCACGTGTTTGAAGCCGCTGGCAACAGCTAGTACGGATATAAACTGCGATGACTGTTCCATTTCATACTTCGGCGTCGTGAACTCTTGAGTGATCGCTGCATGACCACCCGGGGAAAACTAAACATAATAAATTAAGCAATCTATATTAGGTATCTATAGAGCCATAGAGGTATAGCATAAAGCGATAACGCAACGCCTAATAATTTAGTACGAGTAGCACGATGCCAGGTGAGACAACGTGCTTTTTGGCCGCGCCCACCAATGAGTTCGAGCCCGCGACTTGTGCCACCTACGCAATTCCTTTGTATAGTGCGACGTTGCCACTCTTATTAGTTATTCCGCTTTGTAATATTTTATTTATAGGTGATATTTTGTTTATATAGGTATTCGATAGATTCCTATAGTCTGTTTTTTTCGCAGGAGACAAAAATAACAGATATTTATTAGATTCGTTTAGCACGAATAATACAGTTTTTATGATTCTGGTTCAGATTAGATTTAATTTTAGTCACTTAAATTTCGTATATTGTTCAAAATAATGAAATAAATCCACAGAATCTGCAGTTACGAAAAAAATGCAATATCATTTTAGTCTGCGGCGAAAAAAAAAGATATATATCATGATTAATTTACCAACTAGTTATTCGTTTACTAAATACGAAAAAAATATTTAGACTTCATTATTCTTCCAATCTTGCTGTACTGAATATTTACGTAGTCCTTATATTAATAATTATAATTGCATAAGTTGATACAAAATGCTATGCAATAGCTTTACCGCGGCAGTCCCCGAGTGCCACACGTCTTTTTTTTTAATCGTGTTGAGATGTTGTTCCAAAGACTCAATAAATTTCTCAGTATTTGTATGCGAGGGTGATCTGTAAATGCCTAATATTACATGATTAAAGATTTCTATTTGTAAACATGAGGCATGCTCTAATTTTATTTCTTTTATTTTAGGTTTAAGGTTATTTTTATAGAAAACTGTTACTCCGTTATTTTGGTTAAGATATTGCATAGTAACAAATGATGTGTAATTTGCAATTTATGGTAGGTGCTTATTACTATCAAGCCAGCATTCTGTTAGAATTAGCAGATCTACTTGAAAGGTAAGGCTAGATAGTGTTAATTGCAAGTCGTCTAAGTTTTTATAAACACTTCTGATGTTCTGCGTAACAACTATCAAATCTTTTTATTCAAAAATATGTATTTATGCAAATCTACAATATTGCAAGATAAAGAATTTACAATTTCGGTATTGTCTATTTCTTTCAACAAAGTTAAGGAACTATCCATCATAAAAGCTGATGGAACTAATAACACTGAATTTGTATGGCTTCTGGTGATGTTTGTTTATGGTTTTCCAAAATTATTTTATAAAAATGTGCCCTAGTAAATGTTTTAATGATA